CTCATACGCCATGTATCACAATAAGCAGAAAGTTAAGTAAAATTAGAGTACTAAAATATTTACAGCTTTATTCATAAAAAATAAAGTATTTGGTTTTAAAGAGCTTTATAAATTGAAATTTTCACAAATTTTTCAATTTACAAACCTTTAGAGCTACTTTATTTTTTATGAGTAAGGCTATTAAACTATTTACTCTGATTTTGGTAGTTGGTGTTTCGAAAGTTTTAGAGCAAGATGTATTATGGGACGATTTTCCATCATCCTTTGTCAAGTTTAGTCGTTCTACAATACAACTTTTTAGTGTAGAAAATTTGAAAAATTACAAAGAGCTTACATAACTATTCTTAATAAATAAAGAAGACTGTAAATGATTTATAAAATTAATTTTTTTTTGAAAATATCGTTTTATGAAGCTTTATAAATACATTTTCTTTTTTATGAATAAGGCCATTACTACATATAAATTATATGATTAATTCCCGCTTGAAAACTGACATTTTTCGACCCCATTGGTGGCGCTGGTGTCGAGATAAATATATATATAGTTTTTTACGTAATTACATTTTTCACATTTCTTTAGATTCCCTTATTAAAACTACATGTGAGATAAGAGTTTTTGACCCGTTGGGTAGCGCCATTTGCGCCCTTTTTCTACATAAATTATTAGACTTTTATTAATTTTATTACTTACTATTAAAAATTATTAATCAATTCTTCGCGTCTATATCATTTGTAGCCCCACACCTGCGGACATAAAAGGACGTAACTTTCCGCCCGATTTCATTTGGGGTATTGGTACGTCAGCATATCAAATTGAAGGTGGTTGGAATGCGTCCGATAAAGGGGAATCGATATGGGATCATCTAACACACAGATTTCCGGAAAAAATTGATGATCAATCAAATGGTGATATTTCGTCTGACAGTTATCATCAGGTAAATATTCATACAATACAAAATTTATTCACTGGCTAAGAGTGAAAATTTGCTAAGTCCGCTTTCACAAATTTTACAGCAGAGGAAAAAACCTCTTACAGCCATTTTCTTCAAGTATTTCACAAAACTTTGAATGCAACATTTTGCGTGTTGAAACTCCATACGAATCGGATGGATCTGATCTTTATTAAAAAATTTCGTATTATATTCGCCTAATCGGATTTTTGGTGCCTCTTTTGGACTTAGCAAATTTGCCTTTCTATGAATTCGAAACGTTGCATTTTTAATTTATCTTGCTTTCTATACGAAAATATGAGTTTTCATAAAAAGTGGACTTAGCAACTTTTCACTCTAAAAAAAATGTAATACTAAATATTACTTTAAGTCGTAAAATTTATTCGATCGAATTAATACTACATACTTACACGCGCTTGACTAAACGTGGTCATAAATCAAGAAAATTGCATGCAAATTCTCCAACTGTGTTTTTTATTTTGAAAGTTCGTATTTGTTGTTTGTTTAGAAATTACGTTAAAAATTTATGGTCAATTAATTTATCATAACTTGCCAAGGGGATTGACGCATTCAGTGTGATAGCTAATAGTCGGTAGTACGTACGAGTACCTTACGTTACACATGCCAGTTACTTTCATTGCAACTTAAACTTTTTCTTAGTTAAATTCTTTATTCATACAAGTGTATGTATGTATGTACATATGTAGGTACTTGTGTAAGTAGGTTGTAATTACATTTGCATTATTCATTACTTAAATCATAACCCGATTACTTATGCGCATTTATTAAACTATAAAAAATTATGTATTTTTTATTTATGTAGAAGTAGGCGTTTGCTTAAAACAGGTGTGCAATAGTATATTAAGTAGAAATAAAATTACTTTCCATAAGTGTTGACACGATTAATTGATATATAGATATATGTTAATGTCCGTACGAGTATATAGATCATTTCATATCCACCATCAAGTAATTAAATTTGTTTGTATATACGTAGGTGTTTCAATTGACAGGGGTTAAATAGCAGCACATGGTGGGTTAATTTACGAGTAACGTGAGTAAACTATATCCGGTTTAATTTTAAACTTAACATCACTGGTTCAGGCAGGGAACAGCATCACTTCGTGCAACTGCGTGGGTGGGTAATGTTGCCTGGTAGAAGTGCTATTATTTAAATGAATAAATTCATTTTACATGATAAACGATTTGCAGATCGTGATTTTTGTTCATCGAGAGCGAGTGCTCTGCTTTTCAAGTGCCTACCAAGCCCGAAGTAATACCTGTTGGCAAGTGTTATTCTTCGCTTGATCTCCAGGCTGACATTATTGGGGGTGTTATTGCTGGATCTTATGTAGACGAAGTTCTTCAGTAACTTTTAAGTCCTAACTGCCAACAGTGACCCGTGTCCCAATAAACAAAGACCCTTTGTTTGTTGCCAAGAGATACTTGGTCTTGCTTTTGCTCACTGCGAGACCAACTTCTTTTGCTTCCTTTTCTAAGCTAGAAAATACTGCGCTCGTGACCCTGGTGTTGAGGCCGACGATATTATTTGCATAAGCTAGTAGCATCGCGTTTTCGTTAAACGTGTACATTAGGGTGCTACTTGAAATTTCAAAATCTAAATTTTGTATTTGCAAAATAAATTCATCCACGAAAATTTTAAACAAATTTTTAAAGGTCGCTGCTAGGGTTTGAATTTTTTTAAACGCTACAATTCGAAAAAAGTTCTTGAAATCTTTTAAATGTTACCTAATATTGAAATTTACTCCTATAAATTACTGGCTGAGTTATAGTTGATCAAAGTAAAAATTTTGTTGAATTTTTGCGATTAGAAAAATTTTTTTTCCGACTACGTTAGCGACCCTAAATTTTCTTTTTTATTTGAAATGTTCGCGGATGTCTTTATTTATTTTGAACAAAATAAAGGGATGCACTATGATGTTGATATTTTAAGGACCACCCTAGATAGGCTGCTTGTATTACGATTTCCAATTCAGATCGAAGAAATCGCACTTCGTTTAGTCTCTAATGGCTCGGAGTGGTCCTTACCTCTTCGGACGGAGCTAAAATTTGTGCCACACAGGGATGCCCTTCGAGTTGGCTTTAAAATCGACGAAAAGATAGGGTGTGTCGACTTGCTTACCTTAGATCTTTTCTAGGATTTGACTAACTGTGAAAATCTGGTCAATGGAGGGTTTGTCAGGTCTGAATAGGACTGTTTAGCTGATTCATGAAGGATTTCAATCTTTAGCACAGTATGATCGATTGGGCCTTGTATGGATTACTAAAACGGCTTATCCCTTCGTGTGAATTGGGTAAAATACACAGATATTCTAATCTTCGGTCAAATATTTATCAGACCAAACTGTTCCTTAGAGCCGCTACATGGGCACTGCTAGCTTTTCGTCGCCGGCTTTGCACAGCTCATGGTCTGATTATGGCAACTTAACGTAATTTATGGCTCTCTCTTAAAAATTCTGTTAAATGGGTGTTGCTTATAATTGAACAGCCGAAACTTAACGTAACTTAATGCCAAGTCGAAATCTGTTTGATTTTGATTCTCTAAGTTCTACGTTCCGTTAAATTAAGTTAAGTCACCGTAATCAGGCTTTCAGTCGCTTTTCCGTCAGTACCAAGAGCTTTGTTCGTTTCACCTCGTCTTGGGCTTGGAAGGATGAGAACTTCGTCTTAATACCTTGGTTTGGGTTCCTCTTTGCTGAGAAGCGTTTTCTTCATAGCTCAGGTATACTCTGAGCGTCTGTTATCAGATTTCCATCTTCGTATTTTCAGAAACTTGTCTTGGTATTAAAACCATTTGATTGTTGCCTTATTTTCTGGCCACATTCCTGCTTGCCATTATTTCAAGAACTTTACCCTCACGCCCTTCTGCCTTTTGTTTCTTCTTCTTGAGACTTTCCTCCCTCCACTGCTAAATGTTTATTCAGGCGATGAGAAGTGGCTTGTTTGGGCAGTATTGCGAGTCGTTTGCGAAACTTTCTGGCTGTCCGTTGTGACGCCAGATTTTCGAGATCCAACTTTCGTCGCGCTGCGTTTTGCAACTTCCCTATTGCACAGAGGCACATGCGGCTTTTGCCTCCAAGGAGGCAGTCGATGTTGGCTTTTCTTAAGGAACAGACGGTAGGTGGCAGGTATAAAAGTAGTTACACGCTGAACATTTTTCGCAGCCTTGTCCTTTCTATGGCATTTATTTATGACATCCAGCAGTTGGATAAATGCACCTTCCCTGTGGAGGGTCCGTACATTACAGGCGCATGCCAATAAATATTGCCCTTTTTCTTCATTCGGGCTTTTCATTGGTTTGGCGCAACAGTAACAGCATACCGAGCAGAACGATCTTGCTTCATTGCACTCCAATGCCTCTAACTATTTAAATGTATTTTCTGAAAATGAATGTAAGCCTTTTTTAATAAACGAAAAGTGGCACATTTTAAGTGAATACGATAAGTATACGTTTGCATATTTCCTTACATAATGAATTTACAGATCAACATCAACTGCACTAAGGCGGAGATTTCAAACATTTCTGTTTACACTTTACGACAAATATTTACGGTCAGTAAATATTAAGTTCAGACATTTATGATATTAACTCACTGACCTACATCTGCGATATGTCTTGTCTTTCGGCTGTATTGCTCAATAGCATTGTCTTGCCAACTGGTGTAATAATTGTATTACAGTATGAATGTACATATATATGTACATACATTAGACCACGTCTACGATAATTCTAAGAGGTCGTGAATCGAGCGTTTATTTTTCTCATAGGAATAACTCGTAAGAAAATGAGTTCTTCTCTTTTAAGGTCAATCTAATGTTCCGAAACTGTAAGAATACATTAACTATACTCCATTTAAGTGTTAAGCAGGCTCAAATTCTTCCCTAAGCATATAGTTATGTAAATTCCCCAAAGATTTTTTGGAAAAATGCTGGAGTGACAATCCTTGGCCAGATATGAGTCTGGGTCTTTCCGCTTACGTAGCCCCGACTGTCGTGGGAACGATGAGGGTCGGTATCCGGCATTTCTGGCTTAGATAGTCGAAAATGTTTTCTAAGACAATTGAAAGACACAAGACAAGATAGTTTGAAAGATTTTCTTTATTCTACATGAAAGTTTTACAAAAAAGTTTCCTTGCCAACTTTCATGGTGAAAAGCTCTTTTGACAGAAAACTCTTCTATATCATTTTGCTCGCGCTGCTCAAACAGTTGCAATGACCGAGTGTGCAAAGCACTGGCGTGCCCTTCAAGACGTCCGAGGTACGAGTTCTGGGCAGCGAAATTTTAAATTTTTTTAAATTTATTTTTTTTATTTTTATTTTAGTTTTTTTTTATTATTTATTGGCCTTATAACAGTTTTTGTTAAACAAATTTTTGAGCTTGAGGTAATTTTTTAATGAACATTTTTGTGGAGAAAAAACAATAATTTACATTTTGTTAGAACTTATAGCTGCTATTTCGGAGATCAACACGTCTCCTCATCAGACTTCTTCAGTGATTTCGCTTTTTTTCTTTTTTAATCTAATTATCTTTTCTAGATTTTATTGTTAAAAATATATTTTTTAATTTGATTTAGTTTTTAGAAACATGTTTTATTTTTTATGTTTATTTATTTGTTCCTTTTTTTAAAATAATTTTAATATTTTAATGTTTTATGCGCACTTATTTTATTAATCCTTTTTTTAATTTTTTTTGGTAATTCTTATATTTTAATTTTTATTTATTTTTTTTTAATTTTTAATTGTTTTAAAATGAAAAATAGCTCTTTTTAAGTTCATTTAATTTTTGGACACTTATTTTATTAATCTTATTTTTTTTTAATATAATCTTATAATTCATACTTTTTATGGTTTTAAAAAGAAAAAAATATTCTTTTATTAATTTCACTTAATTTTTCGAAAGCTTGTTGCTAAAAAAGATCCTTTTTCATTATAATGCACGCTCGAGATTTACCTGTGTTATCACTGCAGTCGAGGTTTTGTTTTGTTAAAACCGTAGATCAGATGACCCCACGGCTCCTGAATCCACTTCAGCTTCAAGAAAATCTGCGTATTTCTGAGGCACCGAACTTAAATAATTTAATTAAGAAAATAATTTTCGCTTTCATTAGCAAATTATACTACTTTGTTTGAACAATGCAGGCAGTGATGCATACAGAAATATGATATAGAATTTTTTGCATTCTTTCCACTACACTTTGTATATTTATGTACATAAGTAAAATCACAACAGCGTTGTCTTTATCATTTTTTATTTTATCATTCGCTTAACAATGAACAATCGAAGCTTTTAATTTGATTAAATAATTTCCCATGATTCTCTCTGTTTCTCCCTACAATAGTGGCGTCGCGATGTGCAAATGATACGCGATCTCAACGTGCATGTCTATCGCTTTTCAATATCGTGGACACGCATCATGCCCGGCGGCTACATGAATCAGGTGAGCAGCGATGGCATACGTCACTACAGTGATCTCATCAACGAGTTGCTTCACTACAATATCACACCAATGGTCACAATTTATCACTGGGATCTGCCACAACGTCTGCAAGAGTTGGGCGGTTGGACGAATCCGGAAATTATACCAGTTTTTAAGGATTACGCCCGCCTTCTATTCGAAATGTATGGCGACCGTATTAAGATTTGGACGACAATCAATGAACCTTGGCACATCTGTGAATTTGGTTATGGCGTTGATTATATGGCACCCTCTTACAATTACCCTGGCATTCCCAGCTATTTGTGCGCGCACAATTTGCTCAAAGCACACGCTGAGGTGGTGCATATGTATCGTGAGAAGTATCAAGATTTACAAAAGGGAAAAATCGGCTTAACTATGGACACATCGTGGATGGAACCTAAAACCGATTCGGTGGATGATCAAGAAGCATCGGAGCGTGCATTGCAATTCTATTTGGGTTGGTATGCGCATCCGATCTTCTCCAAACGTGGCAATTACCCACAAGTTATGATCGATCGTATACATAATTTGAGTAAGGAGCAGGGTTTCACACGTTCACGCTTGCCAGAGTTTACAGCAGATGAGGTGCGTCGTATACGCGGCACTGCCGATTTCTTTGGCATTAATTCGTACACCAGCAAACGTGTGACAAAGAATGATCACAACAACAGCAATAATTTTCCAATCCCATCATTTAATCACGATATGGGCGTGATCGAAGATCAAGATCCCAACTGGACTGGTTCAGGTTCGGCGTGGTTGAAGGTAAGTGCATGATGTTGGAGTATGGAAGACACAATTGTCGGATATCGTTTTGAGATTAGAGTTGAGCTGACGTCCATTTCTGCATAGTACTTATGGCAAAACTGTTTTTTATTTTTTTTTATTTTTTGGTTATGAGGTTCTTCCAGCGGCAGTGCGATATTTAACTAAATAAATTGCACAAAAGTGAAAGGTGCTAAATGAATAAATTAAATAGTAGAAAAAAAAACGTTATCACATTATTTTGCATATTTTAATAAACATTATTTGTGTTATTTAACCGGACTGCCATTGTTTGTGAAAACGTGTCGGAAGAAATTTCAATTTTGATTTAATTAGAGGCGTTTTTATAGAGACAAGTTGCTAGGCTTCAGTAGTTTACTCCCACCAAACCGAACAGCCATTTTATAAGAAACAAGGCACTTTGCGACTTAGAAGATCGTTTGTGTAAATATAATAATAAGTCCCTTACCCTGACCCAAGATACCATCGGTTTCCCTTGGTAGGTAAATTCCTAATGAAAGAGATCCGACTGTGGATGAACTTTGGCTTAATTAATTTATTATTGGCAATTAATAATTTGAATTTTTGTATGATAAATTGGGTAACAATTAAGGTCAAAATTGGTGAAAATATTCTTAATTGTCGATTAGGTGGCTGTTTGAACATAGTCTTACCTACTAAAATTTAACGAGCTATATTTTTTTTATAAAATTTTGAATAAAAAGTGTCAAGTTTTTGGGTGATTTTGATAAAAAATTTTGAATTTTTATAATTTTTGTACAAAGTTTGAAATGTTATATAAATAATGCGCCAGACTTTTAGTAAAAAATATTAAACATCGAATAACCAAAAGAAAAAGGTATAGCCAAAATTGGTCAAACTAAAAAGTTTCTGTTATTTCTTCCATCACTGTAAGAGTAGTAGCCTGTAGGATTCCCAGAAGCATTCTCGTGCTTTTTGTTCCTTTAAATGCCATTCAAATATTTCCGCTAAAAAGTGCAATAAGTAGTAAGGCCAAGCATAAAAAACTTCAAATTAACCATGAATTGTTATGTCAACAGACTGTTTAAACCCCATAAAAGGGCACCTCAATGCAAATGCATATTTATTAACATACATACATGTATGCGTATAATAATTTGTCGTTCAATTTTAATATGTATAATTGATCACTGCGATCAAATCGCAAATTAGCAATGACAAAAAAAATTAATGCCTATATAAGAATGAATGTACACCTGTATATTAGAGACTGTAACTGTGCACTTCAAAGTTGATTGACAGCTGGAAAAATATGTCGTTGACAATTAAAGCTACTTTAAGGCACTCCGTACATTACGTGCCTAATCATAGTAGAGTAACGTTTCTTCGTGCCGAATCGAATGCATTACGACTCGACTTCACCGACCACATGTCAAACACATTCTACACATAACACATTTTCTGGCGGTTCTTTCTCAACTACACACTTCTGAAAATATTTCTGTAGTAAAATATTGTATGAACGCTTATTGTTTGCACGAATTTTAGCACGAAATAATTCATTTTAAATTACTTCCTATTGAAATGACAAATAGTTTTTATTTCCAACCCAAAAAAGTAAACAAATGTCGATTTCAAAATGGCAAGCGCCTTACAATATTGGGCGCTTTGATTCAAGCAGCTTTTATGATAAGGCGAAAACATGATTATGAATCGTAATGTACCAAGCTTTATTGAAATACATGTGTTCGGCATAAAAGCTTCAAACTTTAGCATGCCGAAACAATTACACTACTATGATTAGGCGCTTAATGTGCGTAGTGCCTTAATGTGCGGAGTGCCTTAATGTGTAGTACAATCTTTTCAGAGTTGCTTTGCCCAAAGAAAGTAACTTTTTTGTGTTTTTTTGCGCTACTTCAGTAGGAAGACATCGACAATGAGCCTCGTAGAAAGTTAAAGTTGGCTTCAGATGGAATTATGCTACACTAATGTAGAATGTACATGTATGTATGTATAAGTATGTAGGTATGTATGTATGCAAGGCGAAAACTTATACAATTTGTATTACCAATTCCTTGGAGAATTAGCATAACGCACATACGTATGTACATACATACGACATACAATTTCACATTTTTTCTACCTTCCTTTTTTCATTTTCTGTATGGGGTTGGTTTTGCTAATAAGTTCCTTCCTGCCTTGCTGTAATTGCAAGGTGGCTGTTAAGAAGGTGTAATGAGAAACGCTTCGAAACGAGAGAAGACATTGAATAGCATCTGTTTTTGGTTGTTTTGGCAAAGTGTATTTTTCTGAGTGCAGGCTGACAAAATGTATACAAATTGGTAGCAGGAATGCTTTGAATAGGTCAATGAACTTATGAAAGTTAGTGCAAGCAAAGCAAAAGCAAGCAAAGAAGCCTAGACAAAAAATATATGAATTTTTATTCTGAAAACTGAAAGAAATTATTATTTTTTTTTTTGCAAATTGCAGGTCGTTCCCAAAGGCATGTACAATTTACTCATGTGGATCATGAAGGAATACAACAATCCTCCAATAATTGTCACAGAAAATGGCGTTAGCGACGTGGGTGGACTTGCAGACTATAAACGCGTGGATTATATTAATTCCTACCTCTCGGGTAAGTACGTGGGCCATTCCATTGTGACATTGGTGAGACATTTTACTCTGGAATGGGATCAGCTGTGAATCATAACTACAAACATATGTCGTAGTGACTTACAGCGAAAGAACGATAACTAATGTATACAGTTTCTTAAAAAAAAACACCCAACCGTTTCTTAGTTAGTTTATGCAGGCACCTAGAACGCGTTCCAGTTTTGGTTTAGTTCTGCATGAGAACAAAATGTAATGCCAAGAACCTTTCCACAAAAGAACCAAACGGGAACAAAGCATTGAGAGCAGTTTGCACGGAAACAAAATAAGAACAAAATGTTTGGGAACGTTTTCGTAAAGAACAAACAGGGAACAAAACTCTAGGGACCATTCTCAAGAAGAACAGAATGAGAACGAAACTTTTGCGTACGTTTCCAATGAGAACAAAAGGAGAATGAAAGTATCGAGAACGTTTCCAAGGAGGATCAAATAAGAACAAAAGTCTAAGGAACGTTCTGCTAGAGAACAAAAGTTTTGTGAACTTAACGCTAAGAATGAGAGGTGAATCTGCGTGTTGGAATGAAAAATCGTTTCCGTTAGAAGCAATATTGTTAATTCTACCTCCACATTGTTTATCATTAGGGTGAACTATCCATTTATATAGCAATTTTTGATTTTCTGTGCAAAAAAAAGAAGAAAAAAGTTCTTGTCTTAAGTCTTTCGTTGACTTAATTTGCATAATTATCTTTCATTTCTTTTTTCATTAATTTTAATTTCCAAATATTTTAAACTAATGAACGCTATGTGAAAAATTTTGTTCTCGCTTACATTCTTCGCAAATGGTTTAGAGAAAATTTGTTCCCGTTTCGTTATATGACAGAAAGTTCCGGAGTTCCCATTTTGGTCTCCTAGAAATGTTCCCGAAAGTTTTGTTCGCTTTTTGTTCTCCCGGTAAACGTTCCACAGGGGTTTGTTCTTATAAGTATAATTCCAATTGAGAACGTTCTCGACCATTTTGTTCTCATTTTGGTTTTGAAGCATTTTTGAGTACAAAACTACGAGAACGACATTTAGTTTCGATCACACTTTTTGTTATCGGTCCCTGATTTTATTTAACTATCATTTGAATGAGTGTCACTGGTGGGACACTGAAAATAACTCTATTTTACCTTTGTGCACTCAAAGATGAATTTTAGCCTAAACACTTAATTTTCAAGGAAGAAGGTTTTGTGCTGTAAAATATATGTAAGCTATACGCTTTTGTCATAAAAAATAGGCTGATATAATCTTCATAGAAATATTAAAAAACTATTTAAATTTGTGACTGGTGGGTCAGGTCCCTTTGACTGGTGTAAGGTAATTATATGAAGTAAAAGTTTCCATAGAAAATAATTACAGGATCCTTTTTATTTTTTTAATATATTTCAACAGATTAATGAAATGTAGTCATTTAAAAAGAGGTAATTAGATAATTTTTAATTTTATGTCATTTTTCCTTTTTTTCGCATTTTGTTTTGTAGGCTTAAGTTAGCCCTAGGCAACCGTTTTATAGCTTTTCGAATCAAAGGACGTTCACAGAGCTAGACCTTTTTTAGCAAAGAAACATTTTAAGAAAGAAATTTTTATGACTACCAAAAAAAAGGTCTATAAGTATGNTGAGTGTCACTGGTGGGACACTGAAAATAACTCTATTTTACCTTTGTGCATTCAAAGATGAATTTTAGCCTAAACACTTAATTTTCAAGAAGGTTTTGTGCTGTAAAATATGAGCTATACGCTTTTGTCAAAAAAATAGGCTGATATAATCTTCATAGAAATATTAAAAAAACTATTTAAATTTGTGACTGGTGGGGGAGGTCCCTTTGACTGATGTAAGGTTATTATATATGAAGTAAAAGTTTCCATGGAAAAAAATTACAGCTTCGTTTTTATTTTTTTAATATATTTCAACAGATTAATGAAATGTAGTCATTTAAAAAGAAGTAATTAGGAAATTTTTAAATTTATATAATTTTTCTCTTTTTTCGCATTTTGTTTTGTAGGCTTAAGTTAGCCCTACCCAACCGTTTTTATAGTTTTTCGAATCAAAAGACGTTCACAGCGCTAAACTTTTTTTAACAAAGAAACTTTTTAAGAAAGAAATTTTAATGACTACCAAAAAAAAGGTCTATAACTATGTATTTCGTTTCTGTTGTTTTGCAGCGGTTTTAGATGCCATTGAGGATGGGGCCAATGTGCAGGGATACACTTATTGGAGCTTAATGGACAGCTATGAATGGAAAGCTGGCTATACGTAAGTATGAGTATTTTGTGTGTATGTACATCTGTATGGATATTTATCAACGCTTTCAATGTAAAAGGTCCTAAATGAAAAATGTGAAATTTAAGTACCAAGTAGGAAAAATATCTTAAAATAAAGGAGGATATGCTTTTAGGCTTGGTCACTCCGAATTTTGGCATGTAGGCGTATCTAAGAGCTAACTACACTCAAAAAAAAAATCAGCTAAAAATATGTATTTCTCTCAACACACGGTTTGGTAACTATAACCAAATGATGGTTGAGAAAAAAATATTTGGTTGACGTAACTAAAGTCTTTCGTCAGTGCAAGTAAAATATTAGAATAAAATACGTTTTAGAATAAATGTGAACAAGGGCTTTTTGCTTTGAAAATTCAAATATGAGATTCTACTTAGTACTACAGTGAAACTATTCAAATATATATTTTTTTAACAGGCAAATTGAAATCNAAGTAAAATATTAGAATAAAATACGTTTTAGAATAAATGTGAACAAGGGCGTTTTGCTTTGAAAATTCAAATATGAGATTTTACTTAGTACTACAGTGAAACTATTCAAATATATATTTTTTTAACAGGCAAATTGAAATTGAAAAAATATTTCATGCGAACAGGTCAAACCATGTCAAATCTGCGAATGGTTGGAATCAGTCATTTTTGATTTGAATGAATTTTGGTCAGAGCTATTCTTTTACCATATAATGAAGTTCTGCCAAAAGAAAAAACGAAACTTTTTTCGAAAGTTATCCCAAATTGTAAATTTAGCAATTTATGTTTTGAATATATCAAAAACTATTATACTTAAAAATATTATTCTGGTCTCGTTTTAATGCGTGATGTGTTGTGGAGTGTAGAAGCAATTTGCATCAAAAAGTTAATTTCGTTAAAAAATGGTACTTACGATAATTTTGCGCAAAGGGGTGAATATAAACAAGTAAGAAAGTCTAAGTTCGGGCGGAGCCGAACAT